TATCCCATAAATTACTCCAAATTTAATATAAATAAATTAAGAGACAAAAGTTAGAATATAAATGCAGCCTACATTAAGCTAAAGAAAATAATCTCTCTTTTTTCTTGCTTCTTTATTTCAATAATTATTTCAACTTTCAACTGTTATATTCGCCTTGCCGTGCTAGGAAAAAAATTTAGTTAACCATACTCTATACAATACTTTCCTCAATTATTTTACTGTCTATTACATTTACTTGTCTATTTCATGTAGTAACATTAAACAGCTTTTTCAGAAAAAGCCTTTTTCCTTTTTCAGAAAAAGCCTTTTCTGCTGAAAGGAAATTTCAGCAGCTTTTCTACTGACACAAGTAAGTGAATATGGACATTGACCACACATCTTCACATGTCAAATCCCCTCACAATATTCAACATATTTTTCAACATATAAGTGCCTGCAAAATTATCAATTTCACAGAGAGAGCCACTACACGTATATTTATATACATATATATATATCTATATGCAGTATAAATATACTATTAAGAAAAACAGATGAGCACTTCAGTTTGAACACTTGAGGAAGACACCTACGTATAATTTCTTGCAACCTTCAGGTAAATACATGAAGACATCACAAGAAAAATAATACTTCTTTACACACACCACATTTCACTACTTTCCCATTACTCATCCTGTTTATCTCCTTTTTTTCAGCCTTCATAACATGGCAGCAAACTTTAAGTCGATACCACAGATTAGTCCAACCGAGAAGAACTGGCAAGCAAAAGTCATTGTTGTCGAAAAATTCTCGCCAAAACAAGCAAGGCATACTAGCAGTAGATATCAAAATATGGTGATGATGGATCTTCAGGTAAACATATTGTTGAATACATAAATCTAATATATAAGTCAACATTCTTTACTTCTATACAGAATCATAAAAAACTAACATTTTTTCTCATTTCCATTCATAACTGGCACAGGGGAACGTAGTGCATGCAACACTATATGATTCCAATATTACAGCCTTCGAAGATCAGCTTCAACTCAGCAAAACATATCTTATTTCAAATGCTCTTGTTAAGGACACAAAGCCTGAATACAGAGCATCAAACGGTGATATCCAATGGATAATATCGGGGAAGACACGTATTGAAGAAGTGAATGAAAACCACATGGAATTCTTATTTTCAACATACAGCTTCACTCCATTTCCAGAACTGGAGAAATACATGGATTCCAACACTGATATAAGTAATTTCTAACGAATCATTTCTTCTACTTCTTCAAAAGTTACATTTTTGCTCTCTGTAATTCAAAAGCACACATCCAAATAGTTATGAACTTCTGGACAGACTTTTTATCGATGACATCTTATCTAAATCTGAACTTCTGAAGAAACTTTTCATGGATGGCTTCTTATCTACATCAGAACTTCTGAATAGACTTTTCAAGGATGACATCTTATCTAAATTTAAACTAATTTTTCATACATAACATCTTGCAGGCATACTTGCAGTAGCTATTGACATAAGGCCAAAGAGGCTCATTCAAACTCGATTTGGGAACAAAACTTATGTACAAGATGTTTTCCTGATTGACAAAACTTTCCACACTATCATTTTAACAATGTGGGATGGCTTCGTGGAGAAGGAATGTGTTGAAATTGCAGAAAACATTGCCAAAAAACCTATCATTTTAGCTAACCGATTGAAAGTTTCATCATTTAATGGTATCATTTCATATCTATTGCAGTTTATACCTACTTATATAAAGCAGCACTGTACATCTATACAAACAAGAAACTAATTTTTGTCCATACTACAGGTCTTACATTATCCACCAAAATCAATAGCACCTTTTTCATAGATGCTGGATTCAATGAAGTTACTGAAATCAGAAAATGGTAAGTGAAAGAAATCTATGCTATATATACTAAATTATTCAGACCATTATCTATTAACTATACATTCACCTTTTACTCTTCTACACACATCTACTGCCAGGATTGAAGCACATAAAGAAGAACTGAACGACATTGCACTGGAGAAACCGAACCAGATAGTGACTCCCACAAAGTTATCTCCGACCCCACACAAAAAATTTACAGAAATACAACATCTAAAAGGAAGACTTCTCGGGGTAACTCATTCTACTTCATTACATATCTCAGATTTATTCTTCTTATCTCTACAACGACAATTTACTTTTTTTTGCTATCTGTACAAAATATTGTATTTATCATTAGCGGAAATACTACTGGATCAGAGCTACACCGTCCATTAAAACAACAAAACAAGCTTTTTGGTACATGTCTTGCAACAACTGTAATAAAATCACTCATGCTGATTTCCATGAAATGTTCCTGTGTGTTTATTGCAAACATCCTACTGCAAAAGCCATCCCAAGGTATCAGTTATTACAATTTAGTATTTATTCTAATCACTGACCTCAACTCTAATAGATTGTCATTGTTTTCTACTACACTTAAATATGTTTATTATCTATTTCTATAGAGCTAATGCCACTGTGCAATTGGACGATGAAAGTGGAACTTTGGATGCAAGTGCAATTGGAGATCCTGCAGAGACAATACTGAAGCATAGTGCTGAGGATCTTATGAATTTTACAAAAGCAGTAAGAAATGACTCACAACCTTGCTATATCATTTCAACTTCAATCATAAGAATATATAGATAACAATTCTGCACCTTTATTTTCAGCAACAAACAGATCCATCCAGTGCTGCAATTTCCTTCGTAAACACTGACGCAAAATACATTTTTTACATCAAAGTCACTCAACTAGAACAGAAAACTACCTAGTACAGATATGAAATCATTTTTGTTCTCAATGCTGATCCTACAATTACAGAAGCACTGGAACTCCAAACTCCTGAGAAAGATAAAAGCTCCTTCAACTTTACTGAAGAAAACAAGAATTCTGACAGTGAAGACACATCTACACCGTCTGCAAAACGAATCCTCTTCAGAACATCAACTAAGCCACTAAATCCAATGGCTCCCGATGTAGTAGCTGAAAAAAGCAACACTAACCCCAGCTGTACAACTCATCAAGTCACAACAAAGAGAAAGCTTGATTAACTATGGACATATATATTTTTGTGGGCAATATAGTGCTACAACCTGGAAGTTAGTTTTGCTCATTTTGCTACTATAACTCCTTAATGAACAACTATGTTCTATTTTGTAGCACATGTTTCTAATTACTTCCATCAAGACCAAGCTCAGAGGTTGATGATTTGAAGTTTCAATTGCCCTGTATTTTGTAGTAAACATGTTGGTTTGAAATTTCAATTTGCCTGTATTTTGTAGTAAAAATGTTGCACATGTTTAGCACCAAGGAATATTAATATTAATGTACTTTTGTAGCTTGTGACTTTGTTCAAATTCTGTTCGTCTGTAAGCTACATCAATGCCCACAACTTTTGCTTTTCCTTTCTACTCTAAATATTGCAATAACATATCAGTTTATCAATTAATTAAAATAATTTCAGTTGCTCACAGAAGATTCCTTTACTTCGCTGAACATCTATTTCGTTTTTTTTATCCAGTAGAATAGATTTTGTTTCTGTACTGCTGTCTCTGAAATTATATATAGCTTCACTTCCTTTCTTTCCTATCTTAAGATACCTATATTCAAAGAACTTCATAATTTACCTGAACAACAATACAGAATACCAAACAATGCCAATTACTCTCTCAAATCAAACGATCTTCATGGAATATGAGCTCTCTTTAATCTGAAAAAATAAAACTAGAAAAATGGACATAAAAAATAAAGCTAGATAAATGGAGATAACACTTCTAATGTCAATCACCTCTAATAGCTGGTCCTAAATTCCCACATCCAACAAGGCCAATTTAATCAGAATGCAATTCTTTCTACTTTCTAAATTCTTCAATTTTCTACACGACAATAATTGTATATATACTTCAACTAACAAACTTGATTTCAACTCAAAAACAAATGAAACTGTTCTTATAGTATATACACTGAAAGTGATACACTTCATTTCAAGTGAAAAACAAGTCAATCTGTTCTTATAGTATATATACTTACAGTAATAGACTTAATTTCAAATGAAAAACAAGTCAAGTTCTTCTTACTTAAAAATTCTGTCTCATGAGATACATAAACACAGTGTCACCGTGTTTCCCAGAAAACACTGTGTCTTGTAAGACACGGTTTCCCCATCTCTCACACAGATACATTCCGGCTCTACGTAAGATACAAAAACACACGACACAAAGATACATTTTTTCAATTCATATCAAAACGTGAGACACGAAAACACACGACACGAAGATACATTTTTTTCAATTCACATCGAAGAGGTAGTTTTGATTCAAC